GGAAAGGTTTAGCAAATTAACCTGTCTGTGATTCTAAACAACTGATTTATCTATTCAGACAGGCATCCTTCAGTACAACTTTCAAACTCTTGAGATTAAAAAATTGAAAGAGAGCAGCCATGGGGCAAGTATACGAATTATGAGGAAAGATTAGTTAAAACTGACCCCCATGACATGGGAAGAGGTTAGTCATAGTGACAGGTTGTGAAGACGTTTAGAAGATCCAAAGTGGGAAGGGGATGGCTCATACAAATAGACGACAACTACAATGCACTGAGGTCTACATGAAAACTCCATCCTGAATACAAACAAACAAACAAAAATACCATTAACTAGGAATGCCAGAGAAGATAACAAAACTTTGAATCTGATGTTTAGAGTTGTTTTTTTTGTTTTTTTTATTATAGGCAGAATAAATATGCGGAATAGATGACCAAAGAAAGGAACAAAAACATAATGTCGACTTCAATTACCAATTTTACTATATATAATTTTGGACATTAAAATGAACTATACTACAGTCAGGTCTTATCTTTACATTAAAAGGGTATACTTCAGTACCTTAAAAAGGCATACAGTTTCCTTACATCGAATGAACCACCAAGCAAGTTAGATAGGATCACGTAAAATGGATGACCCAGCAAGCTTATTACAATTAACTATTTGATTATTTCAAAAAGACACTGAACATCCCTTAAGAAAACATTTTACAATGAGAAGCTCACAGCAGCACAGGACTCCCTCCTCTTCCCCCCACCTATCCCCACATATTCACTTGTATGGTTTTCTTAATTTTAGTCTCTCTTCATATCACTAATCCAGACAGCAACAAGTATTCATAACTTTTGTTTCACCAATAAAATTAATAAATAATTGAATTAATAAGTGTTTCAGTACTTTAGAACATAATAGAATAAGTCAAATTTTTAAAAAGTCACACGTTCCAAAGAGAATGGTTCAGAAGGCAGGATGTAAGGTGTGAAAAGTTTAACCCCTAATTAATGGTCCAGAGACCCAACAAAACAACCACCAAGTTCTTTTAACGACAGTGCATTGACAATTTTTTAATAGTTTTAGGTGTTTAGACAGCACTCTCCAATGAAAAATTTTGAGTCCCTCTTCCTCATAAACTAGAGTACCAGGATTCCAATTTATATCCTTCCCAGGAAGGAACACTTTAGGCCAGAATGGCCCAGAATAGCAAAAACTCATTGTCCCTAACATACTCATGTATTATTCAGACACACCAAGGAGAGCAAGTATGCAAAGATTCCGACACAAACAGCGTTTTTACCACTGTATTTTTCCTCTTTCATTTTTCACAGGAATGTTCAATGGTTGCTAAATCTGACCAGCTCCATTGTGCTTTACCTCTCACTTGTCTTTGTTCCTTCTGCCCTCTACCTACATTCCTTCATCGATTTTATGCTATTGCAGCCACTTTTCTGTGGCCATTCTTTTTCTCTCCCTTTTACCACTTCTTCCTCCCTGTCTTCAACTTCCACATTGATCTTTGCTGAAGTTCTACTGTAAGCGCATATTGCCAGAAAAAGTTACTGATATCCTGGGGATGGGTGAGGGGACATCCCTCCTTAGACGTGGCATAGAAAATAAGTGATTTCCCTTTCTTCCCCATATGTAAGTAGGCACAGAAAGGACCCTTCTTTTCTTCCATGGAATAGGAAATATCCTTTTCCATACCTCTCCACCAAATCTGAGAGGTAATTCAATCTACCCTAGTAGGATATTAGGGCAGTTGTCTCGTCTTTTCTGACCAGAGGGGACAAGAGCTCTCAAACTAACTTCTTCTCCCTGTTTGGAAGTCAAAGCTACCCTGATACCACCCCTGCTCTTCACTGTCAACAGGCCCTTCACCTTCCTAATCAAAGGGCAAAGAGAAGCTCTGAGGCCATGTCCTACCTTCTTCACCACTAAAGGACCAGAATGTTTCTATCTCTGATCTTCAGACAGTGTTTGTCTTCCCAGGTCACTCTAGGACCAGAGGGAAGTTCAGAGCAGGCATTCCAGGTCTCCAAGCAGCCTCCTCAACTGCCAGACTTAAAAGAGGAACTTAAAAGAAGCAATTAGGGCAGCAGGGTTAAAAGAGGAGCTACCAATAAGCCATTCCTACTTCATCCATTGTCTGCAATCATGCCTTTCCTACTTTTAGAGAGAAAAGTTTAATAGATTTTAGCGAAGTCTCTTGCATTTAGTGGCACAGTATTGGACTTTATTCCTTCAGAGCACAGGCAAAGCAGGGCTTAATACATGCCACCTTCTGCACAGAAGCCATTCAACTCTATAGAAATAAACAGTTGCTTTAGTGTTATCCCCCACTCACAAGAAAACATTCACAATCTGCTTTTGGGTTAAGAGTGTAAATGAAAATTAACTAAGAGCAGTCGTATGCTTTTTCAGTTCTTATACTGGCTGCATCTTTTCTTCAGAGTTCAGAAATGTATTATAGGTATCCTGACACATTTCAGAATACGATCCCAAAAGATTTTATTAAGAGACTGTGGATTCTTATCACAACTCCTGAAGATACATTTTTAAATGTTGAAAAGCTTTGCTTTAAGACAATTTGTGGTCAATTTGGTTGATTCTCTATCATTTCATTTGCAAATAGAAGCCGATTGAAATGTGCCTAAGTGTTTAGAGGATAAAGCTGAATCTTTGAAGCTATTTTTTTAGTTTGTTATCAGGTGTGCTAACTTTGTAATCTGGTTTATTCATCATTTGAAAATGAATAGTATTTTATTTCTTTCAAAATAAAATTACCTGGAGATAAAAAACACTTTCTTAGGTTCTATGTGTTGTGTCATTTACATGATTTCTTAAGATATGGATTAAGGAATCCAATATAGAATCTGAGACAAAGAACTTTTTTTAATTTTAAATTTAGAACTTCATTGGAGAGTTGTATTGCTTCCTGACCACAACTATAGAGGTGCATTGTATTCAAGCTTTAAATTAAAATAATAGAAACTCAGTTAATAAATACAGTATTCATTATTCAGCCTCATTGCAAAACTTTCCCCAAATCAGTAATAAACTTTACATTTACTTCCAGAATGTAAACAGGTTACAATTTACTTTTTAAAAAATTGTTGTTAAACACAGATGTTTTCTTTCCAGAAATATTTTAGTTACTTTTTTTCCCCATAAGATTATTATTGACTGTAAAAAAAAAATATATCTTTCTTGTAGAAGCATTAGAAAGGAGGGTTGTCAGGCAAGAGCAAGGAGTACAATGCAACCAAAACGAGACAGGTTGTGTGTGGCAATATACAGCTCAGAAGTTAATTTAGACTTTCTATCAATTAAGCTTGCCTGATCCATCTTTCCTCCAAAAGCTCAATCAGCCAAGGAAGCAATACATTGTACCAATTGTGTTAATTACTTTAGAAATTGTAACAGTTACTTAACAATTTTGCTATAGTTGCTGTTTTTTCTCTGAAATTGTAAAAGCAAAATATATTTATTAACAGTAATCACAAGGATTCTACAATCCTATTTAATTTTGGAGACAAGGGTATTCTCCTAACTAATTCATAAGCAGTATTTAAAATATAGAGCTTTGAAATCTCTTATCAATTCTCCAACATCAGAGCAGTAGCATTTCAATTGGAACTATTTGGAACAATCCAAAGACTGCTTCAGATATTCTAGTAGTAGTTACTATTTTTATGGCTTGGCTCAGACTTGCTTTAATCTCTTTATTTAGGGAGAAACTGCAAGCTTGCCAACTTTAGCAAATGTTAAGCACTTTAGTAAATTCCCTGTCAATACAGGTCACGCATTCCAGGGAACAAGTATGTTGAAGGTAAATCCTGCTGTTTTATCCAAAGGAAACTTGGATAAGGTGATAAAAGGGAGTGGTAAAAAAAAATGTGACTAACCACTACTTCCATACATCAGTCTACACATTCCTTGCATGCTGACTGAGCTGTTACATGATGTAGCTCACTCAGTCTCTAGTTATCCTTTATCGATAATATTTTAAGGGGCAAATTGGCATATGTAAAATATGGATTTTATCACCCCCCCTTTCCACATGGCTTCCTATGTACAGTTGTTCACAATCTACTGAGTCCAGAACCACACAGAAATGAGCACAAAAGTCAACCAAAGTAGCAGAAACTGAAGGCACATATGACTAACACATGAACAAATGAGCACGACACCGCTGTCATTTTAAGGCGCAGCCTGTGAATGAACACTTTCTACAGGATCCAAGTAAAAAGCTCCTAAACACTGCTTAGTTGAGACCTGTTCAGATCATTTGTATTAACCAGGAGGTAGAGTTTTATGTCCTTCCTGAACAACTGAGTGGCCTTGTTCAGGACCTTCAGGCCTCAAATAAGCGTTTCTCTTTTACCTTCTTTTTCCTTTTCTTTTTTAAACTTTCTGAAATCAAAACAAAACAACCCCCCACAATTGGTACAGACAGCAGGGACTGAAGCAATCAGCTGTTGTACTTCGATCCAGATTGGCAGTATGCCGCCTCTGCCCGCGATGTGCGCTGGCAGCACCAACGCAGAAGTTTCCCGCTTGTTAAAGACTCTGCCCTCCCAGGTGAAAGGGCCGCGTGAAGCCTGACCTGGAGAGGGTGGGTATGGAAGAACATGACCTGGAGAAGGTGGGTATGTTTCCCACAGCCCCATTTCCAGGACTTCCATAACCAGACCCCAAATGAGTGGGAGCAAAGAAAAAAAAAGAAAGGTCAGGCAGGGATCTCCTGGGGGGAGTGGAAGGCATGCCCCCAGAGGGTGACAACTCCCAGGAAAAAAAGAGGGAGACTCCGTGCTGTAGCCACATCCACTCCCCCAACCTATGCCCTGAGCATGGGGCCAGGTGCCCATCACCCGCCAGCACCGCCGCACTTCCCCACCTGCCCTGGGCTCCGGCTCGCTGCAGATCCCGGCTTCCAGCAGAGCCGCGGCTGGGGAAGGGGTGGAGGAGGAGGAGGGATAGAAAGAGGCAGGAAAAGCCATTACCAGAGTTTTGTTCCCGTTCTTGCTGAGGGGACCGCGGAAAACTCCCTTGATGTTGCGAAAGTGCCCATTGCTGAGGTGCGCGGAGCTGATGACAATGTAGTAACACTCCATGGGGCGGCCGCCGCCTCCGC